TCATTCCTGAGGGCTCCAGGTCATTAGCAGTTCTGTCAGGATTGGGTTGCGGTAGGTTACCATGTATCATGGGGGGTGGTAGTATTGAGAGATGGCCTAGAGAAGCTTCTAAATTTATCCCTTAAAATTAAGCATACCCATGTTACCTATTCTATCTTGCTTGAGTTTAGTTGGTTAGGGCTGCCAAGAAATTTGACAATTTACCTACGTTGTTTAGTTGTACAGTTTATTGGAATTGTTCATATCCCCTTATTGTGCTTTTAATATCTCAGTTGATCTCATTGTTGGCACTCATAATTAAATTTCTCTCTTTTATCCTAGTGTGTGTAAAAAATACTGTAGATCAATTGGATTTTATCAATTGAATTCAGAATCCTATAAAAACTTAATATATTTTGATCAAATGGCTTATCAAAGGAAATAAGAATGCTTTATCATTAGAAGGATGCCATTGTAAATTACCAGTCATCAGAAAATTTTCTTAGAGATGTTCAATTATAATTCACCTCATACTTCAGTTTCATTAATTGTCCTAATAATTTTTCCTTGGTCAGTTTTTGCTCTGATCCTTTTTTTTTTTTTTTTTGCTTATGTTTCATTTGAGTTTAATTTATTGTACTTTTTGTAATGATTCTGAAGTCATTGATGTGGAAATCTTCTTCTTTTCTCATACAGGTATTTAGAATAACAACATGCTTCCCGAATATCACTTATTATAGAGGTTTACATATTGCTATGATGCTGAAAACTGTGGCACCAGTATATGAAATACCAGCAGTGTCTACCCCTGTGGACAGGTTTTAGCAGTTCTTCCAGACTAAGATGCACTAGGAAGAAAGGACTGGACATCCATTTCTGAAAGTTAGCTGCAACCCATATGATCACAGCAAAACATTGTCTGAATCACTTGCGTTGGACACAAGTTCAAGAGGGATCAATCATTCAGTACCAGATGACATCATGGTGCTAAGAGGTCCAGTGAGGGTGAGGGAGAGTTTTGGTGAGAAGACTGATACAAAGCTGTAAGCAAGGCCTTGACTTTCTGCTGATCATGAAAATGATGAAGGCCTGGCAACATTTCATTCTGTCAGAGTGGACGCTATGGCAACTATCAATCTATCTGTGACATAACGTTCATAATTCCTTCTAAGAAATTACCAGAAACTGAGTTGTCTATGGATCTGGAAGCCTAAAACATGCTAGAGCTTTACCTACCACGGTGCCTTTTTAATGCTTATTTTCAATCTACCTTGTCTCAGAATTATTTAGTACAGCTTTTTGTCATGATAGCTTATGAAACAGCATCTTTTCTCATTCAAATAACTTGGATAATTGTAATTACTTTAGAGTTCACTTACAAATGACTTATTATTTTATTATATTGTCTTATTTGACTCAATAAAAAATGTTTATTGAACATATGCTTATCATTTCATTGTCCTTTCTTCCTTTGGTAACATGTTCAAAATCAGATATAAACATTAAGAATGGATCTTTCTGAATCTGAGTTTACATATCCTGCCAATAAATGAGTACAATATACGTGTAAACCAGGATATGTGACAGATGATAAAGCATCGGGATTCATTGCGTGCTTGGAAAGTGCATGGTCAATTCAACAGACATGCATTAGTAAGGAATTTACTAAGTTTATTGTTTTTATGACAGATTCCAAGTAGTTTATTCACCTTAATGCTCTGATTTAGGGAGTGGTAGGAAGAGGGTGTGGCTGACATAGTTCCACTTCTAATGATGAACTAAAGAGATATAATGAGGAAATTATACATAATATAAAAATAATTAACAATATCATATACATAATATGAAAATTACATATTATATAATATATATAATATGGAAGTCTTAAACATAGAAATAATGTACAATGTAGAAATCATATACAATGTAGCAATCATATACAATGTTGAAATCATATACAATGTTGAAATCATAAATATAATGTAGAAAATATATATCATAGAAAATACATATCATATATAAAAAATTGAAAAATCACATATAATGTAGACACCATATATAAAAGGTAGACTTATAGATAAAATATGTAAAAATTTATCTACTATAGAAATAATATATGTAATAGAGTATAGATGTATATTTATCATTAGGCATATGAGTCATTTTTACTTTTTTGACAAAATTACTGGTAGGATAAAA